GCTGCCATGGTCAATTTCATCACTTCGCGACAGATTCAAAACTGCCCGTAGATAGTTTTGATGGTTTAATGACTATAATTCAAGTATTAAAGAACAATTTTATCAATATAGAATGGCCCAGGAGGCTTTAACTGGCCTGACAGACGTTGTTGAAATTGGCTATTTTTAGTCAAATTTTACAATTGCATTTTGTCACTGGATTTGAAGGGGAAATTTACTATGTGCGATAATCGTGAATTTGTTTATATTTCATCCACGGAATGGTATAGCATGAGTACATGTTATATATAAAAACTAGTTTGGGTTCAGAGGAGGTTGGACAGCTAATTAGCGAGTTGTCACGTGAGCTCTCGACCAATGAGATCGCTCTATTTTCCATCGTGTTATCTGCAGAATTTGGACAGAAAAATTTGCATTCGACGGAAAATAAATCGGAAAAAAATATTAATATTAAAATTTTCTTGCAAAATCTCAAGTGTTGTAGTACTACTACTAAAGATCTGGCGATATCTGCAAAAATCTCTGAGGTAAACTTTATTTTCAATGTTATTTTGATGTTTGAAGTTAGTCGACTCCCCGCGACGTGTTGACTCAAGTCTAAATATGTTTACTATGTTTAAAATGAAATATCTAGAATTCCCATGGTTCGATTTTCTTCATTTTTGGTAGTCGTCAAGAAAAATATATAAGCTTTAAATCTGCTGGAATGATCCCGGTGATCCCCCGGCAGTTTTCGAGATATTGACCGTTGAAGTGACTACTGTCAACTCGACGTTCGCTAAAATGGCGTCTAATACCGTGGAAAGAATTTACGCCATCAAAGATGATATTTTCAATGAATTTTTGTTAAAGTGCTAAAATATTATTTAGAAGACTTAGGAGTTGTTTTTATATTTTTGTAGAATTTATATCTGTGCGATTTTCAAAGTTTTGTTGTCTTTGGCCGACGCGACTGGATCGTGTACGTATTTCAAGACGAGCTGATCGCCTGATCCTGGGGTTTTTGCATAGATATCTATGGGTTTTTGTGGCAAATCGAGCTGCGGAATCCTCAGCATGGACAAATCAGTGTCATAACAGCCCATTTCAAACCATCAGAGAGCTCCACTTGTTTTAAAGCAATAAAACAAGTTTTTATTGTATTATCATATGTATCATATATAATTAATATAAACAAATTAAGGGAGTGGTCATTATTTATGGGGAGGGGGGTTGGTAAATGGGGAAAATAAGGATTAAAAACTTCGTTGACCCCTCCTCTCCAGACTGAAGGCAAACTTTTTGTGCCTCCCCCCTCTTAAAATAGAAACTTTTCTGCCCCCCCCCCAGTGTGGATTGAAAAATTAACAGCAATGAAACAGGCGTGCATTGCAGGTAAAGTTAGATATTAGGACAATCTGTTTAAATCTAGCTCATGATGTTTTACCCTGGTGAATATGATTCAACCATATATGATTAAAAAATATATATTATGTGTTACTACTGCAATGCAACATTTGTCCTACCATAACCCTAACCCATGGCCCGTCTTCATACAGCGAAATGATTTGAACACAGGGCTTTTTTTAAGAACTTGTCTGGGGGGTGGGCATCTACAAAAAGGGACCATACTATACTGAGTGTGGAGAGATGACAGATGGTTGTTGGTGACAAAAAGTTTGGTGTGGTATTGTATGTATTAGTAGGGGGGGGGGGGGTCTGGGGAAAATTTTTTTGTATTTTTCCCCAGGACTGAAATGTGAGCATTTTCTGAAACAGATTTTTGGATATACAGCGTTACATTGTGCTTTGATAGACCGAATCTGATCAGTTAAGTGTACTTGCATGGTATGTTTATGTAAATACCACAGCTGGGTCACTCAGGGGGTAGGAAGCTTGTTAAACTTAGTGGGCACCACTCCCACAAGGCACTACCATGGTTGGCACAGAGCAGGGAAATTTTGAAAATTTTGAGTCTCTAGATCATTGGAAATGGCATTTTCAGAGTCTTTTTTGCTATTTGTGATTATAGAAACCAGAACTCTAGAAATGGTATTTAAGTTCAAAAACTTTTTTACCCCCCCCCCCTTTCTCTATGTTAAAACTTTGTTTGGGTAAAAAGGGTAAAACTTTGTTTGCCCCTCCCCCCTCCCATTTACCACCCCCCATAAATAATGACCACTCCCTAAGTAGCATGTTATTGTTGGGATCTCGGATCAATTTAATAAATATATAAATAGACATCTTCTTGTTTTATTGTTGCATCAATTTTAATTGGAAAAAATACTCACAAAGTAGATCAAGTGTATGGATAAATTATTCATTTACTAAAGTACATTTTTACAGTTATTTATGCGACCTCGTACCCAGAGTCCTTCCTCTTGGGGAGAAAAGACCCCGGTAGATGCTGGTCACGTGATCTGCTAAAATCTAGCAGATTTCTAATTAACTATCTTGAATTCCTTTATGACAATCATATACAAAATGCAAATTATAAATTAACATATAAAAATCATCCAAATATCAAATATTTATTGACCTCATCTTGGATTGCTTATTAAAAATCTGCTAGATTTTAGCAGATCATGTGACCAGCATCTACCAGGGTCTTTTCTCCCCTGGGTACGAGGTTGTTATTTATGTACTTAGTCTTATTTGTATGAGTGTACATGACAGGTTGTTTTAATTAGATATACCCAGTTATATCATTTATAACATATGGTTTGTTTAAAAATGCTGGAAAAAACCAAAAAAGTTAGTCAATTGAAATAAATGCACTAATAACTTGCTAAACATAGCTAATTGCTATTTATTATATAAAAACATCTGTCAACATACACTCATGCTTTTTCCTACCACTTGAGTCGCCACTCACCAGGTTTCATTATGAAAATTTTTGGATTAAATCATGGGCGGATTTACTGGGGGGGGGGTTAGGATGGGTTAACCCCCCCCCCCCTTAGAATCTCTCTAACCCCTCTTATAAAGTGTTCAACCCCACCAAAATTTTGCTTCAAAAGTCTTTAACCTAATGCCAAACCCCTGTAAAGCTCACTCAGTGGTACTGCTTGCCCCCCCCCCCGAAATAAAAAATCCACCCTTTTTAATTAAAAAAGTCAACCCTATACTTGATACACTGAACATAGACAATAGACATCCACGACATCTGCAGCAATTAGTGGGTGCAAATACTTGCATATTTGAAAAGCAATATAACCAGCATGTTGTCATCCAGTTCCATAGTCTAGTCAATAGGCAATTCCAGCTTTTAATTTATGTGTGCAGGGGGCAACAGGCAGTAAGGTATCATATTGCTGATTATGCTGAAAAATTTTAATAAAATAAACTAAAAGCTGGAATTGCCTATTGCACTTGGGTCCCTTGGATTCAATGGTGCTGGCCATATTCTTACGTTCACTGTTTTATCTTGTTCATGAAGAGTGAGGTATTATGTCTTAATTTAATTTTCCAAATGATGTTGGTAGTTTTTCTCACGAGCATCACCGATGCACTTGAATGCTACAGCGTGGGCGATTTCCTCCTCATCACTTTCATCTTCTCACTTAAACGTCATCACTTTCTGCCCTATCACCTTGATCACCTCTTTCATTATCATATCCATCCTGAACAGGCTCAAGACCAACCAACCACTCAAGTAAATCTCTTTCTACAAAATCATAACAAGAAAATTATTATTTGATACATTATCATCTCTAAAATTAGCAAACATGTAACCTCTAAAATTATATTCTCACAACCATCCACAACTAGATACAAACAGGCATCATACTCAGCAAAATGTATAAAACAATACATACAAATAACTGAATAACAATATACCTTCAGACTCATCTGAGAACCAATGTATAAACTATACACAGTGCACATATATGTAAAAATCCATACAAACAGGTATCATACTTCAGCAAAAATTTATTAAACAATTCGTTTAACTCAAAACATGTACATATGTATCACAGTGACACAGTACATATACACACACAATAGGGTCAAATTAGAGGCATTATAAACACAAGTATGACGCCATAATTTTGTACAGTGTATTTATAAAATTACAGTACAAGAATAAAAACAACAAAGCGGAAATTTGACTATAAAATAACACAATAACTGTAATGCATTGTAGTATACCAACCTTAAATACTGCGCTTGTTTTCACGTTGATGATACACGGAGATTTAACGCCATCCAACTTAGAAAGAAAAGCCTCGCTATTGGGAATATAAAATTAAACACAATTCCTTTTCTCAGACGGATTATTTATAAAGCTAAAATGACAGCACGTCCCATGCAATTTAAATTAAAAAAGGTAAACTTGATATAGTAAAACACAAGTCATAATGATGATCGCAACAATACAGCAATAACATGCTGTTTCTTTTCACAAAGTATCGCAGCCTGACACTCTTGTCGTTCGAAAGCTTCCATATTGGTTTAGTCAGAGAGATGTTCACTCCTCGACAGTCAACAGTCAATGAAGCCACGCGCGGAATTAGGCGCTCAATACCCAGGATGCTTTGCGGCCTGCTGTCCAACCTCCTCTGAATAGTCCGATTAATATGAACACAAAGTTGCAAAAAGAAAAGTTCAGATTTAGATTAACCTAATTTCGAAAAAGAATACAAAATAAGCGAGAAAACGTTTTTGATAAAAAGAATTTGCTGTTTTTATGGCGTTTCATCTGGTCAAACTCGAACGCACAACTCCAAAATCAAAAAAAATTCCAAAAAGCATGTATTTTTATCTTATTTTTATATAATTGTAATATAGCTAATGTTCTCTTTTATATAAATGTAATGTCATATATACCTCATGTAATATAACCTTTTTAATTAAGTAAACTTGAATGTCAACTGAATATTGATTTATAATCATATATATATATTATAATCATATATATATATATATATATATATATATATAAATGTTGTAAATAGACAATTGATATACTCCCTAATTTTTTGTAAATTTTATGAGGGCCACAAGTTCATTAGTATTTCGTACTATTAAGTTAACCCTCTTTAAATAAAGTCTCTATATCTATCTATCTATCTATACCTAGCGTATTAGCGGCTTTACTATTGGCTACGAGGAGCTGAGGTGCGTTCAATCTCGAACCCACCTGCTGACGTATGTTTAGGAGGTAGGTTCGAGATCGATGTTTCGGCGGCGGCCATTATGAAGCGATTTGAACAAATTTCAGACGAAGATTGAAGTAAAAAATAAATTAACTGTTTTTAGTTGTTTTATAATTATTATTTTTTTATTTTGTTTGATGAAAATGGAATATTCTGTATTCAAAGTGGAAGAGAAGAAAGATGGCCGCCGAAATTTGTTCGGCACGGGTAGGTTTATATTAATCTTGGCATTGTTTTCGCAGAATGTGTTCATTTTATCTTTTCAAGAATAAGGAAATATTGTAGAAAATTTTTTTAGCTTTAATTTAAGCCTAAGTTTGTTTGTTTGCATACTATGTTGGCGGCTAAAATGTTCGTTATCGAAACACGAAATTATATACTAAAAAGTAAATGCATATAAAATTCTTCAGTACTTTTTAGTATTTTACCGAAATGGCATGTGATAAAAACCAAACATACTTGCAGGTTCGGTGATTCCGAGATTGGACGCACCTCGGGTGGCTGGAAGTTTCCCGAACAAACCTCGCTTCGCTCGGTGGGTTCGGGAAACTTCCAACCACCCGAGGTGCGTCCAATCTCGGACTCACCGAACCTGCAAGTCATGCAAGTATGTTTTATAACTTATCCCATACCTGTGTTAAAAGCGGCTTTCTGATTGGTTTAGAGCAGGTGAGCTTGCCGTCGAGCTCACCTGCTTTTCGCCCGAACTCACCCGCTAAACTGCATACGTTACAATAACAATAACACATATGGCGGACAAGATTTAGCCGATAAACCTAAACTTTAAAGAACTTTTTTCGGTGACTAACATACTGAGACTGAAGAAAAACCAAAGAAAAAATGCAGTAAAGGTAATGTAGACGTAGATAAAGAAGTATTTTCTTGCCTAGTGATTTTTTTAGCCGGGAAAATGTTCACAAAACATCGACGAATATATCGCGAAGAGCTACAAATGTGTGTATGGCTCGGTGTATGGGATAAAAACCAAACGTACTTGCAGGTTCGGTGAGTCCGGGATTGGACGCACCTCGGGTGGCTGGAAGTTTCCCAAACTCACCGAGCGAAGCGAGGGGAGTTCGCGAAACTTCCAGCCACCGGAGGTGCGTCCAATCCCGGACTCACCGAACCTGTAAGTATGTTTGGTTTTTATCACATGCCATTTCAGTAAAATACTAAAAAGTACTGAAGAATTTTATACACATTTTACTTTTTAGTATATAATTTCGTGTTTGGATAACGAACATTTTAGCTGGCACATACTACGTAAACAAACAAACTTAGGCTTAAATTAAAGCTAAAAAAATTCTCTACAATACTCCCTTATTCTTCAAAAGAGAAAATGAACACAATCTGCGAAAACAATGCCAAGATTTATATAAACCTGCTCGTGCCGAACAAATTTTTTTTTTTCCACTTTGAATATAGAATATTCCATTTTCATCACACAAAATAAAAAAATGATAATTATAAAGCAATTAAAAACAGTTAATTTATTTTTTTATTTAAATCTTCGTCTGAAATTTGTTCAAATCGCTTCATAATGGCCGCCGCCAAAATATCGATCTCGAACCCACCTCCTAAACATACGTCAGCAGGTGTGTTCGAGATTGAACGCACCTCCTCGTAGCCAGTAGGAAAGCCGCTAATACGCTAGGTATGGATAAGTTATAGAACATACCTGATTTCCAAACACATATTCCAGTTGCAGCTTTTACGCATACGACAACAGCCGTTTAAAAAACTTTGTCTCGTTGTTTAATACCTCGCGAGTGAGATTCCCGGACTTATATCTACGTACATTACAACATTCCCTAATCAGCCGTGATTAAGAATTAAAAAAAAAGCTTTTGTCTAGTAATAGCACAGACCCCAAGATACATTGTAAATTCAGCTCGAATTGTACTTGTTTACCTGAGTAATTTTATTAAAAAAGCAAGTCAAAACAAACAGTTCGAATCAGGGACCTGCATCACACATAGATCAGGGGCGCCATAGCCGTTTCGCCGCCCGTGTTTTACAGCTCCCCGATAAAACATTGGGGCGAGTGCGCGGCCGGCCATGGCTGCCACATATTTTACTAGTGAGCGAGCGATAATTTTGTATCGACATTTTGTTGATTTTCTCATGCTATATTAATAAAAGGATAGTCTAACTTTTTGTATTCGGGCTGATCTGTGTGTATTTTCAAACATTTCGTAAAGATTTCAATGGAATCAGATTTCAATGAATATTTTCCAAGCATTGTTTCAAAATGAAGTATTCGTAATAACGCCAGCACTGAACGCAGGCTCGCGTTGCCACGTCATGTGGCATGGCAACACGATAATTGTTTTTTAATTTTTTGTACAGATCTACATAAGATAGATGAAATTTGAACATTTATTTTGGTTGCTATGGGCTTTATTTTAATATAAAATTCAAAACGAAACTGTACGTAAAACGTTTTTAAATGTGAATTGAAATTAACTGCTTTTTGCCTATATTTATAAACTTTTCAACTCGAGCTTGAACTTATTACTCGCACTTTGAAATTAAATAAATTTAATTCGCACAGAACGCGAATGAAAATAATGTGCTTACCCAGCCTAGTCCCAGGCTCTCTCTCTATTCGCTGCTTTGATATATTTAAATAAGTCTTAAAAGTTTTATGCCTGGGTGTGCTGTGCGGAACGCTTCAGCGAGAGAGCCTAGCAGATTTCGGTAAAATGGTCCCTGATTTCAAAAAAGTGGTCCCTGGCCTGGTTACCAAGCATACCGCATTTGTAAATAGAAAATGTTATGGAAATTTCCTTTGCATTTATAATTAAGTCATTAGTTTTGCTCTAATGCTGTCGGAACAATGAAATACGCTACGTTTCGCTACCCTACGGTCAGAATGGAATAACGGGCTAAATATGACTCGTGTTTACTAAAATATAAAACCATATCACATGCTATCCGAGTCTCCGACTAAAAATGTTTTGACAACATGATCATGTCAGGCGAATATTTCGAATCTCCTCAGCTGCTTAAACCTGTCAAGTAGAAAGCGTAGTTTTGTATACTAGTATGGTATAGTGTTGATCACAACTTGCGAGTATATAAATATCATCAACGATTATACGACCATTGCTCAGACTCTGTATCGTAAATTTGTACATATATATTTTAAATTGAGCGCATTTTTAATACAGTTTGAATTTGGTTATGTAGACATCGAACATGATCAACGAATTACATTTCGTATTTACAAGGTTATTTGTGTATCTAAATTTTCCGCCATATTAAAAATACTGAAATCTGCTAGGCGTTCTGAAGCACCTTTAGCGGTGACGTCACACCTAGGTCCCAGTCTCGTACTACATCCACGTTTTTTCTCGCGCTTGCTTCAGAACGACTGGGACTAGGCTGTGATCTGCGCATGTTTTGTCATTGATGTAACACCCTCTAATGGTAATCTAGGTACGTCTGATATTTGATTTAGCAACACCTAACACTGATCTACGCATGTTTTGTCATTGATGCAACACCCTCTAATGGTAATCTAGGTACGTCTGATATTTGATTTAGCAACCCCTAACACTGATCAACGTACGTCATCATTTCATTGATCTAACACCCTCCAATGGTATTCTAGGCATATCTGATAATTGATTTAGCAACCCCTATCACTGATCTAAGTATGTCTTGTCATTGATGCATTAAATCTATCGAAGCATTCATGACGACTAGAAATGTAACAACTGAAGGACATATCTTTTCATTTAGTGAAGTAAAATGCCAGACAGTTTTGGATATTATAGCTGCCTGTAAAACATCTAAGGCACCTGGCTTTGATAATATATCGGCTAGCTTGATCAAATTGACGTCCGAAGTGATTATCCATCCACTGACACATTTAATAAATACTTGCATACGACTTGGTAACATTCCTATTGATTGGAAATCTGGGCAATTAACTCCAATATTCAAGAAGGGGCAGGAGCAGAATAATATGGAGAAATCCTGTTATAGACCTGTGACGGTATTAGTTATATTTGACACCATATTCGAAAAATGTCTATATCAACAATTATATGAATGGTTTGAGGAACAACTGGTCCGTAATCAATCGGCTTTTCGTAAACACCATGGATGTGATACGTCGTTACTTAATCTAATAGAAAATTGGAAGTTTAATCTTGATTAGATAGAATAGAATATACAGTATAACGTCTGTTGAATACTAGAGCTAGGAGCCTTTAAGAAACTTTAAGAAGCTTTTAGTGCAAGGCCCCTGTTACAGCAAATGTTAAATTCAAACGATAGCTATTTGTCAGTTAATATATAGTACATAAAATTTTAAAGAAAGTTGTGATATAGTTTTACAATAATATAGATATACAACAAATATGAAGTTAGGAGTGCATGATGATGGAAGCATTGTTTTTACCCTACATTGTTTTAGACGTCCATGAATAATATAATATAATGCTGTATTATTATTATTCTTGTGTTTGATAATAAATTTTAGCTTGTTTTTTGAACGATTGGTAAAATTGGATGGATTTTAAATCTTCGTTCAAATTATTCCAAATATCTACTCCTTTATTGGAGAGAGTATGTTTCATATAATTAGTTCGGGTGTAGGTTTTATGTAGTTTTTTGGAACTTCTAGTATTGTGATTATGAATTTCATTATTAGTTTTGAAAAAATTGTTGAAAATTTTGGGCATATTGCTCATGTTGTAAAATTGAAACATAAATAAACTGGTCAAATAATCATTTATTTTGTAAATATTTAATAGATTTAATTTTTTGAATAATGGTTCCGTGTGCTCAGAATACGGTTTGAAAGTGATTAGACGCACAATCTTCTTTTGGACACTCATCAATTTTTGCAATTTGGAAGGGTACGTGTTACCCCAAGCTAAATTAGCGTAAGTGAGATAAGGATAGACAAGGGCATAGTAAAGCAATTTTAATGTATTTTGATTCGTATAATGCCGAATTTTAGAAATAATTCCGGTTGATTTAAATATTTTTTTAAAACTGAACCAATGTGATTATTCCATGTGAGTGTTTCATCGATTAGAACACCCAAGAATTTTGTACATTTCACTTGTTCGATCGACTGGTCATTTATTTTAATATCAATTTCAGTTAGTTGCTTTTTATTGCGTGCTCTGAAAAGGATCAATTTTGTTTTAGTTGTATTTATAGAGAGTTTATTTGTGTTTAACCATTTAAGTATTTCATTCATCTCTCTTTGCATTGTTTCTTTTGCTATATTAATGCTCGAATTAGAATAGAATGCGTTTGTATCATCTGCAAACAGGACAAATGAAACAACATCACTGCAGTTTTGTATGTCATTTATGTATAATAAAAAAAGTAATGGCCCAAGAACAGATCCTTGGGGAACACCAGTTGTAATTTTCATTTCTTTAGAATTTTCCTGCTTGAATTTCACAATCTGCTTTCTATTCATTAAATAGTTTTTGAACCACGTTAAAGCAAGTCCTCTTACTCCATAATGCTCCATCTTTTTTAATAAAATATCATGATCGACGGTATCAAAAGCTTTTGATAGGTCAAGAAAAATTCCTATTGTATATTTACCTTCATCAATTGCTTTGGTAATTTTGTTAATAAGATTTACAATTGCTATTTCTGTTGATTTATTACGCCTAAAACCATATTGGTTTTCTGTTAGTATTTTATTTTTCTCAATAAAACTAATTAGTCTTTTATACATAAGTTTCTCTAATAGTTTAGAGAAACACGTCAGGACGGAAATAGGTCTGTAATTTTCAAATATTTGTTTATCACCCGCTTTAAAAATAGGAGTAACCAGGGCCAACTTTAACTGCTCAGGGATAAAACCTGTTGCGAAACTCAAGTTGAATATATGGGTAAGTGGTTGACTAATGTCTGTTGCGACAGTTTTAATGATTTTGGCATTGATTTCGTCATACCCAGGGCTTTTATTGTCTTTCAATTTAAGTACTTCACTTATCATTTCGTTTTCAGTTATTGGATTTATAAACATACTGTTCATGAAGTTTCCCGTAAGATATTTTTGAATTGAAGTCTCCAAATTTCCATTTATTTTGCTGGCCAATTGTGGTCCAATATTTATAAAATATTCATTAAATTTATCAGCGATTTTTGAAGGGTTTGTTATTGATTCGCCTGAGTTTTTTGCAATGAATTTGTTAGGTAATTCTTTAGTTTTTAATTTTTTATTTAATAGTATATTAATGGTCTTCCATGTCATTTTAGTATCGTTTTTATATTTTATGAATAATTCTTCATAGTGTAGTTTTTTGGCAATTTTAATTATTTATTTATTTATTTAGCTTTTGCCAACTAGGGCAGGGTCACCACAACAGCATATGCCAATTACTGTGGGCCCTTTTCTTTACCTAACCCACCCTGTCAACTTTCCCTGTGAGAGGAAACCGGAGTACCCGGGGAAAACCCACGGCTTTCGGCAGAGCGTTGACTTTTACTCTTTTCACATGGGGACTGGGTTCGAGTCACACTGAGAAGGTACTTAGTGAGACTCGAACCTGCAGCCTCAGAGGTGAAAGGCGAGTGCGCTAACCACTTGGCCACCGAAGTTACGCTGTCACAACGTTGAGATTTGGAAGAAAATGTTTACACAAAAAATACAGATACGTTGCAACGTGTATTCATAGTTCAATAATGTGTAGCAGCTTACTACCAATGGTCTGTGACTGTGTTTTCGACAGTAAGCGTATATTTGCGTTGTAAAATGCGCTTAGACATTGACTCCGGTTATGGTAGTTCTGCTGTTCCAATTACATATATTATATATTCCAAATGTATGTATATATGTATAGCATATACATTTATGTATGTGCATGCTCTGTTGCAGAAATATAGAAATATTTTGCATTGAACTAAAAGATTCTACTGAGTATTTAGTGTTTCAAAGTCTTGTTATTATTATTAATACAAAAATAATTCAACCAATTAACTGGCGGGACTGCAACAATGTTGCAGTGGATAATTCTAGCTTCAGATTTCACAACTATTAATGGTTTTTAAAACAAAGCAGGCTTTCAAACGACATTGCTATGCTAGCGAAATAGCTGTTATCTCACAAACAAGATTTGCCTCTTCTGTAATGTGTAGTGTCGCGCAAGTTAGACATTGCGCAAATTAGTAAATTGACATTCAAGGTCAGTTATGGGATTTTCCCAGACAAGAGATAAGTGTAAAATAACTATAATCTGGTTATATGTTGTGATGTATTTTTACATGTAGTTTAACTTGGTGTCTTGGTTCTCATTTTATATAGGTAAATATATGCATGTACTGTAGTGTATAGTTCCCAATATTATCAATATTTTCATTATGTAAAATACCGTAAACTCACGTGTGGGAATATATATATATATATATCACCGAAATTGCAAATATTATATATAGTCAGCTCTGAGTACGGCTTGAATAACGAAAATATCTAGATTGTTCATGTAAAACGTAAGGTGCACTGCAAAACATGTGCCGTCTACGGTTGCCGTAATAGTGAAAGTCAACACGGCAACACACAAGTGAAATCTGTTTCTTCAATTTTCCAAAGGGCAAATCGGTAGATCAGCAATATAGGAGAAAAGCGTGGATTAAATTCTGTATAAGCGCAAAGCATTAAACTATCGTCGCGACGATGTGACTAGAATATATGCTCACTTCATTTTGCCGAAGACGCGTATGAACAAGGACAGTCGCCAAAGTTTTTAAAACGAATACAGTGCAATGAAACGTTTAGAATACAATTCAAAAGGGAAGCGTTGCCAAGTAATAACTTTTCTTACAGTACATACTAGCTTCAATTGCGGTGTACTATTTCTACAATGGTCGGATTGACATAAAAAGACACAAAACAGCGCACGCGGCACGCATTATACGCGTGCACCTAATATACAATATTTAACGGCATGGTCTACATTCAATACACCGTTGAAAATAAAAGAAATCCATTAAATAAATGATTATAAGTAAACCACAAACCAAAGGTCCAAGACGCATGTAGAGGTCCTATATTTACAAATATCCCAAAATTAAAATATTGCTTGCTTTTCTCCTGCTTCTGGTTCATATTGGTATGATAACACTTCTCCTACTTGGTTCTCGTGAATATTTTCCATTAAAATGACTCAAAAGCACCAATTTTTTTAGAAAACGTATTAAATCTCGATACACGCTATACAAAAATATATTGTTGTTTTGATTCTTCCCTGCCATCTACGTCATACGGGTCATATTACCCAAAAGATAATTTTTCGCAAATACGAGCCAAGATGGCCGACGATATATAAATTAACAGTGAAATAACATGCATATAACTCCTGAACAAAAATGTTTGACACGGTATTAATATCATATATATAGTTAGATGAAGCAACACTTTTAATATAGACAATAAAAAATTTTGTTGCCATTGTCCTTTAAGCTACGTCACACCACGCTCGTCCCAGAGTCTTGTTGATACGCGACAATTTTACGAAAATCGCTGTTTAGAGCCTCGTATCTCGCGAATGAAAAGAGAAAACCGAAAAATGTTAAAGAACCTATTAACTAACTTTTTGTCCTCTACCAAATTTCAAAAAACAATTTTGTGACATAAGCACACTTTCTTGACACGATCTCACGGTAACGTCACAACGTCAAAATATTTAACAAAATAGGTACGCTAAGCGTACATGTATCTGCTCATGGTAATTGCACTGTTGCCAAGGGCATCAATCAACACTCAGTAGCTTGTAAAAAATTTTAAGGGACTAATGCTTAACAGTTGACCAGTTAAATAAAGTTAGATTTATAGTATGTCAGATGAAAGAAAAATAAAATGGCTGATATATATTCAACTTGCAGAAACTAATTCCGGCCATAACTTCAAAAAGATGATATTCAATTTTATGATGTTCTTGTTCAATCATCTTTGTTTTATGATTTTCTTGCAGGGATGGATTCAGCAAGATCTGATATGGGGGGGGGGGGGGGG